CGATTCATCAAATACCAACCATACCATACCATACCTGGACCGAAATCCAAGATATAATTGGATGTTTATTCTTTTTACTTGCGGGGAAATTGTTCAGGCTGAAGTAAAACACATTTGATTAGTGTTCCGGGTCTAGCTGTCTCGAGCTGTCAGACAACTTTCTTGAGTAAAGACTGGGCCCTTCCTAGTAAAATTCTCTTCGTCATCACAGTCATGAACCGCCGTCAATCACATCAATTTGTGAACTGATCCATTGCTTCCAGAATTAGTAACGTAGATCATCAACTCATCCACTCTTGGATCGCAATGTGGTCTTTCCCACAAAAAGGTAGACAACATCTAAAATATGTCGGCGCATACGAAGACTCGAGTAAGACTAAGCACAGCGGTTCCAGAATAATGAACGTGGGTCCTTACAGTCAGTGTGAAGCTGGCGGCTGTACGGAAGTCAATTTCTCCCTCTTTTCAGCAAATTCAAAGACTGGATCCAACAATTTCCATCAACATTATCAATACGACCCGAGTCTTAACTCGCTCGGTCTAGCCTTTCTATCATAGCAGTCGGTGTTGGCGGCGCAGATGATTTTGGGAGCAATCAAACCCTTGTTCTTACTCAGGGCTTAGCACGCAGCACATCACATTTGTTGGCGTGTTCATCACGACAAAGCTCTCTACTGGTTTTGATTTTCTGTTGCATCTCTCACTTCCTTGTCTCTCGACGTGGCTTCACTATCACTGGATTGGAAGTATTTGAAACGTTTTGTTGCATGTCTACGCCGAGGTCCTCGGTGTGGATTTATACATGATTACAACTCAATGGTCTACATCCGCGACCGAGGCTCTCCACTCTTGTTCAAACCTCATCCAAGTGGATTTGCTAGAGGAAGGTTATAAATATTCCTAACCATTTTGGTGGTTACGAGCACCAATAATATATACAAACTCGACTGTTGGGTTCGGTGGCTGGGAGTTTGATTAAGCTATTCAAGACGAAGGTTCAAATAGTGGGACCCGTAAAGGCATATCGACCTTTGGGATCTGTCGTGAATTTGAATTTTCCGTTTAGACTGTTGGAGTCTCTGTCAGTTCTTTTATATCTATTTCTGAATAATTAATGTGTATCGGTGGCTGCATGCAAACATATGCTATCTTAAGTCTCAAAAACCATACATCTTTTTTTTTCCTTGCCTACTTCCAAGTGGATGGATATCGCTACAAAAGTTTCCTGATCATTAGGTAAAGGTCCTCTCGGAAGACAATTCTATTCTCACGTCCCAAGTGGTATAAAGAGAAATGTACTACTCCTGTCTTGCTCTTTTCAGGATTACTTTAATCAAACCATGAACTCGACGGTCGACCAATCCGGCCGAAAGCATAATTACCATTCATAATTTTCACCTAATCATGGTCAGGTAAGACTTTCATATTGATTTCAAAGAAATCCTCTTATCGACGAGGGGAAGATGGCTTTCTTTCTAGGCGTGCAATAACCTCATTGTCAAGGAGTCGGATGCATATAGAACTGGAAGACTTGTCACAGACAATGCGGATGAGTCGGTGATGACTGTGGCTATCAGATCATCACTATGGCTCAGTGAGGAAGACACATAGTGAATGGGTTAACCATAGTGAAGTCGAATTCATCGATCCATACAGATGTATCCCAGGAGTGGGACAGTTTTTCCACAACTTTACGATCCAAATTTCATACCAGAAACATTGTACACAAACAAACTTATCGAGATTTACGAGGCGCTCAATATCTCACTGCTGGAAATTAAAGGCCGAAAACCAAACACGAATGTTACGATTCGGATTCGACATACATACCCAGAATGCTTCTAATGTCCGAATACAAATATGCAGATATGGCATTGAAGTACTTTCAATCTTCAAATTCAATCTTCAAGTACAAATCGACAATTTTTGAGCACTGTCGAAGTCCAAACACAAAGCTGACAGTAAACAACCGTTTAGGCTTCGGCCTTCGGGTTTTCCGTGAGACAATTTTGGACCGGCTGTAATGTATACAACGTGTGCATTAAGGATAGACGGGTAGACACTAAAGGGAAAGCGTGAAGGGAAAGCGTGGGGTAAAATGGAATGGAGCGGCAAGATGTCATCTTGCTGCCAAAGAATATCGAACTTTTCACCAATGAACGCCGACTAAATGCTTGGTACACTCTTTATCCATTATTGAGTCTCCTAGGAAGAAGATAAGGATAAAATGAAAAATTGTAAGTATGCGCAATGGTTAAGTGTATGCTAACAAATGACGCGCTTCTCGTAGGAGTGATCAACGAAATAAACTACTAATATGGTTGCAAGCTGGAATTAATCGATTGTCTCATGCCACAGGGTATTTACCATTCGGTCATAGGTTAAAACACTCTTGTCTTACTGTTCATCATGCTACACTACCTTCCAATAATGTACTAGTGTTAGTATCAAGCCACTTCAGACTTTCTATATCTTCTCTTCCTCCTAGATTATCGACATTTCAAGCTCTCATCAACTTGTCAACATGTTCTCATCATTATCCCTTTTTACCTTTATATTATGGATATCTTGTTGTTTTGGCTTCGACCTAAGACGCGAGTATTCTGGGCAATCACATTCAATTTCAAAATGCTACACTACCGTAAGTCCATCATAGAAAGTATATTTGACCATACTTAATTCTTCAGTGTCAATTTCTTTCTCGGATTCTCAAAGGCCGGGTATCGTTCCCTGGTAGTACTATATATGAATCTGAGCAATTTTATTGGTCGCTACAACAAGCTGAGTTGCAACCTGAATGTCGAGTGACGCCGATATCTGCAGAGGATGTCTCTACTGCCATACAAGTACTTAAGTCTCAAGATTGCCAATTTGCCGTCAAGAGTGGTGGGCATGCATGTTTCTCGGGCGCATCAAATATTGAGAATGCTGTCGTGATAGATTTAAGCAATCTTGACCAAATCAATATCTCGAGCGACAGAACAGAAGTTTCCGTTGGAGCAGGTACACTGTGGTCCAATCTTTATCCAGTAATGGACGCAGCAAAAGTTGGAGTTATCGGTGGCAGAGTCGTTGGAATCGGAGTTGGAGGTCTGACGCTTGGGGGTGGAATATCCTTTCATTCTGGACGGTATGGATTCGCTTGCGATAATGTCAACAACTACCAAGTATGATTCCTCTCATCTTTTCACGTCTGTAAACTTATAGTTCATTAGGTAGTTCTTGCCAATGGTTCTATTCGCGATGTTAATAGAGCATCGTACCCAGATCTGTATTGGGCTTTGAGAGGAGGTGGTAATAATTTTGGCATTGTTACAAGATTTGATCTGGCTTCATTCGAGCAAGGTGATATGTGGGGCGGAACGACAACTTCAAATGCAACAGAACTTCCTAATGCAATTGAGGCATTGGTCAACCTCAATATTAATCATGCTTCTGATCCATTTGCTGCAGTTTTTCTGGTATATGTCTACATCCCTTCGATAGAATCACCACTCGTCAGTTTCACATTGAACTATGGGAAACCAGTCATCAACCCTCCTATCTTTGAAAATTTTACCAAGATACCCGCTATATCTGCTGACTTGAGAATCGCGACCCTTACGTCGTTGATCAATGGAACAGCAGAATCGCAACCTTCTGGGCTTAGGGAATCATACTGGACATTGACCATATTGAATGATGCCCATTTGATAAACGAAATATCCAAGTTATTTGATCAAGAACTTCAAAACATCAGGAATGCTACCAATTTACTACCTGCGCTGATCTTCCAACCAATCTCCGAACCAATGATCTCGCACTTTAGCAAGAATGGTGGAAATGCTCTTGGTATAACAAAAGAAGATGGTCCCTTGATCCGTAAGTGAATGATTCAGAAATTTCCGTACAGTGACATGTCTAATCTCACCGTCGCCTAACAACCTCTAGTAATCAATATTGCGATTCAATGGACGGACGTTACAGATGATACACGAATTATAGCGTTTGCAGAAAATTGCATTGCACGATCCACTACCTTAGCCAAGGAGCGAAATCTTTGGCATAGATTTTTGTACCAAAACTACGCTGCGCTTCAACAGGATGTATTTCCGAGCTACGAGAAAGAGAATCATGAGAGATTGGTCGAGATCTCACAGAAATATGATCCAGATGGTGTATTCGTGCGGTTGCAACCGGGATACTTCAAAGTTTATTGAGATACTATACTTCCAAGACCTGCGGGTGGCAATTCATGCAAGCTCTTTTCGTTAGATGACATGAAGTGTAGTTGCTCCCATTACTTGTTGAGCAACACAATCTGCAGTTTTCATCATGTGATAATTATTGCTATCACTTTCTTTGATTTCTTGTTGGTTGCAAGGACATGGCTGGATTTCAGTAGAGTTGATAGGCTCAAGACAGGGTACCAGCTTATAGAGAGAGTGGCTCTACACAATATTGAGAATTTCACAAACCGTTCCAGAGACTTGGCTAGCTAAGTATTCAAATTTCAATCTGCGAGTCACAGCTCAGCGACGTACTCCGTACTTGAACGATTCTCATATTCTATTTCAACTTGCTCAGTACCGAGATTAATCCTCTTTCGGTGATTTCATTGAACACCGCTCCAAGTGGGGAAACCACGTTATCGGGGAAATATGTTCAAACAATGCTCCATTCTCGGGCTAAGACTTCTTATCTGATATATATCCTTGTTGTTCGAACGATTTCGAACCATCTGATAAAAATTCTGATGTGCCAAGCAGACATTGCGGGAACTTTTCCCGACTTGCAATTCTCTCAACGATAATTTTATCAGATCATCAATATTTAGTGGGCCGGAGTCGTATTCACGTTGGTCATAGAATATCAAGAACAGTCGCATTGAAACTCTATAAAGAAGATCAGATAAACTCAAAAAGGAGGATGTTTTTCGATTTTTACATTGATCCACTTCACGAACTACTCACTCCCTATCTTTCCAGCCTCACCTCGAAATTCGAGGATAAACTTCGGCTATGTCAAATAATCAGATAGCTGAAAGTGTCTACTCGACTTCGGGTACGCCATCAATGGAACACGATACTAAGGAGAAAAATGAAGCCTTTGTATCAGCGGTCTCTTCAAGCGATAACGAGGAACACCGATCGGATATCGCCAATAATGATAGACAATCTAATGGGAATGATATACCTTGGCAATGGAAGCTTGTTTCAGTCATCCTAGTGTCGATGATTGGTTTTGGTTCTCATTGGAGTTCGGGAATCACAGGTGCAATGAAATCAACAATCAAGAAGGAGATGAAGATTGATAATAAGCAATATGCTTTATTAAGTGCCAGTCAAGACTTTATGGTAACAGCTTTGATGATGGTTAGTGGTCTTGTTACGGATAGAATAGGAGGAGCAGGTAAGACTACTATATCTTTCGTTCATGTCCAGTCGCTCACTATCTCTAGGCGCCATCTTTTATGGCAACATCATCTTCACAATTGGATCTATTCTCATTGCTGGAGCTGCTCAAACCAGGAACTATCAATTCATGATCGGTGGTACAATTGTTCAAGCTTTTGGAGATATTGCTACTCAAGTTGCACAATACAAAGTTTTCTCTTCATGGTTCGCTCCCAATCATGGATTCGCTTCGACACTTGCGCTTGAATTAGGAATCGGTAAAATCGGTGCATTTGTTGGTAAATCATCCGCAAATATCATCTCGAAGAACACAGGAAACTTTGCAAATGTCTATTGGGTTTCAGTAGGCATGAATGTCTTCTGTAACTTGATGACTCTTGGCTTCTACGTCTTTACTCGTTTCGCCAATAAGAAGTTTCCTTCTACATCTGATCCAGCTACTGGTGAGAAACTTACAGAAGGTAACAAGAGATTTGAACTACGCAAAGTTCTTGAATTACCTTGGATATTCTGGGTCATTTTGGCATTTTCATTGTTTGAAACTTCGACTGCTGGTCTCTTTACTAGTAATGCTACAGAAATGGCTGAGCAAAGATTGGGTGTATCATCTATACAGGCCGGATGGTACACATCAGCTATTCAATATGGTGGTAAGTATCCTGTAACATTGAAAATTTCAGTAATACGATGCTGATCATCTTAGGATTCTTCTTCGTTCCTCTGATTGGAATATTTGTTGATGTATGGGGAAATAGGGTTACTCTCTGTAAGTACACTAAGTCTCTTTACATAATTCTCCTGCTAACATTCCCCAGTTGCTGTCACCGGCTTTGCTTGTTTAATATCAATGTCCATCGTGAACTGGGCTCCTTCAATCAAGGGTACAGATGCTGCATTTGGAATTTATGCTTTCGCATACTGTTTCGGTCCAACTTTGATCATCGATAGTATCAGAACATCAATGTGGCATCAAGGAGTTTTCGGATCCGCATACGCTCTCAAAGTCACCATGAATAACGCGTAAGTTCCGTTTCCCTCAATCAACCATTCTTTACTAACAATAAAACAGCATGAGCATCATCGTTGGTATCGTCGCTGGAGTAATCCAAGACGCAGATGACAATTCCTACGACAACGTCACCATTCTCTACGTTGCTCTTTCTGCAGCATCAGCATTCATGGCACTGATCATGATTGGACTCGCCTATTATTGCGTTGATTTCCGAATGTTGCAATGGACGCGCAAACAGCGAATCGCTAATGGTGACTTGATCAATGAGCGAAAGCAAAAATTCCATAATGAAAATGGACCGCGAAATCGTAAGATCTCAAAGTATTGTATTGGGGCCTTGGTGATGTTGGTTTTGGGTTCGTGGTGTGCGTATTTTTGGGGTGTGGCTACGGGAAATAATAATGCGTAATGATTAATGGGGTATGAGTAAGATTTTGGAATTAGAATGGAGAAGAAGATCAAGAGAATTGACTTGATGTTGGACTTAGTATGTTTGCATGATTTCACGTTGTTTTACATTACACTTTGGTATTCGGTTATGGATGCGTACAGTTGAGTTGGGACTTGTGGTAGTTTTTTGTTCTTATATTCTGTGTCGCCTTTCTACGAGGATATGGGAATAATAGGTGGAAGTTGGCCGTCTCTTACTACTGCAAGCCATACAGTAATGTGTGCGCAGTCCGGGTTCTTTTGGCATCAGTATTTCATAGGAAGTATCGATCCGCATCATCATCAACTGTTGGTTTTTTCTTTTTCGCGTTTGAGAAACATGAACTCTTCCCCAGATAATTGCTATGGGGTAGCCAACATACAACAAACACACTTGATTGGACTGATCCTGCCAATCGGCTGATGGATTTCATATACGATACTAAAAGCTTACTACTATGTGTCCAACATTTAACTCCAAATGTTGGATGACAATCGTTCCTATGGTAAGATTACCTCTATAAGATGATTGTGACAGCCAAATCTCTGAATCAACATCAGTAATCTATTCAATTACAATCATGAGATTGAGTGAAAGATTTACCGAAGAAATGTCAAGAATCGTGTCTTTTGCGGGTATCCCTTCCTATCTTGTGATTCTACAAGTCATCCTCTCTACATTCATTCTCAAGGTTTTTCTCATCCAAAAAATTCCTGTTTCTGTATAGCTAACGACTTCCATAGCTTTTTTTCACTTCAATATATCGTATTACTTTCCATCCATTTGCAAACTATCCCGGTCCGAGATGGGCAAAGATCACAGATTTGTATTCTGCTTATCACAGCTTGGGAGGAACTCTTCATGTTAGAACATTGCAAGCTCATGATAAATATGGTAAGAAGATCAATTAGATCAACCTTAGCAGCTGCTGAGATACGTTTAGGAAGCGTAGTTCGCTTGGCCCCAATAAGTTGGTTTTCAATTCGGCTGAAGCTCTTCAAGGTACTTCGCATTCAGCCCATGAATGATCGTTTTCTAATCCATGAAACCCAGAGATTTATTCATTAAAAAATGTTTAAAAATCACAAGGATGTGCTGTTCTAGTCACCACACCAGGTGTCCATAATGTTCATAATGCAGTGGATTTCTCGATCCATAAACACAAATGAAGGGTCATCTCAAAGGGGTCCTCTATTCCATCTCTGCTAGCTTTCGAGCCAACAATGATCAGTACTATTAATCTCTTGATAAAAAATCTAGCTAAGGCATCTATGAAAAGTAAAAACTAAGATAAATGGTCGAAACCTATCAATATGGGCACTAGCTTCAAACACATTTCTTTAGACGTTATGGGAGCATTTGGTTTTGGGCAATCATTCAACCTACAAACATCTACCGAGAACCATTTTCTTTCAGGGATGATTGCTGGAATATTAACCAGAGGGGGAGTTTTACTCCAATGTCAAGCTTTTCAAAAAATCAGAATCGAAAGATTCTACAACCGGAAAGTCCATACGGCGGTTATGAAATATCACTCTACGGTGAGTAAGCTGGTTGCAGATAGATTGAAGCAAAATAAGAACGCAAAGAGTGATTTATTTTCTTTCATTTTCGATGCACAGTATTCGAATAATGATAAACATGAAGATAATGAAACGATGACGGTTTCGGAATTATTTACTGAGAGAGGATTTTTACTTGCTGCTGGTAGGTATATTTTTTACATTTTCAAAATAGTCAGATAGTTACCCGCTCACACAAATAGGTTCTGATACATCCTCAACGACTCTCTCCGCCCTTCTCTTCTACCTCTCTCGATACCTAAAATGTTACGAAAAAGTCACCACAGAAATCCGATCTACCTTCTCCTCCCTCTCTGAAATTCATAGCGGCCCAAAGATCACCTCTCTCAAGTATCTACGCGCTTGTATTGGAGAAGCTCTCCGTATGAGTCCACCCCTCGGCTCCGCACTCTGGAGAGAATTTCGTTCTGGAGGTATCACCATAGATGGCGAGTTTATCCCTGCAGGCTACGATATAGGATGTGCAGTCTATGCTGTGCAGCACAATGAAGGCTATTTCCCCCATTCCTTTGAATTTCAACCCGAGCGCTGGATAGTATCAGAACGAAATCCGCAGGAAAAAATTGAGGAGATGAAAATGGCATTTGCACCATTTAGTTTGGGACCGAGAGGATGTCCGGGGAAAGTGATGGCGTATATGGAGATGGGGATTATGATGGCGAGGATGGTGTTTTCTTTTGATTTTAGGAGGCCAGGGGATGGGGGGTTGGGACAGGTGGATGAAGGGGTGCTGGGTAATCAGGGGGGAGGGGAAGAGTAAATGAGTTTCAGTTGATGGATCATTTGGCTAGTACGCACGTGGGTCCGTATGCAGAGTTTAGATTGCGGGATGGTCTGGAAGGGGAGTTTGAGGGGCTTTAGCTGCGTATTGTAAAATCTGGGGTAGGTGCTAGGGGATGGTGGGGAGGAGAGCGGGCAAATTGTGTGGTAATTCTGGAAGAAGCAGGAATTCTACATCTTGTTAAAGCTGCCTGTTTTGAATGTTAGTGAATATTTCAAGCACTTATATCAGCAAAGACATCACTATCATCTGGGCTATTTACGTTTTGCAGTATCGTCACAGCTTCAACCATTCACAAATCTTGTAGAATTTATTTGTGAATGACCAATCAAGCAATTCTCCTTCTAGATCCATTCCCTGATTTGCGACAATCGTCTCTACACATTCAAGAAATTAGATACATGAATCACATTTTTATTTTTTCTGTTTTCTACTTTACACGTTCTATAAAATCGTAACGTAATGCCACAATGAAAATCTTCAAATTCGGACTACACCTCTATTTTTATGTACCAAATTACCCCATCGAAACACTTCACAATATCAAAATAACCGAACAAACAAATTATCGCCACACGCCAACAATGTCCATCCCATCTCCACCAGCCTTCAAACCTCGATCCTCATCCCTATCCCCACACCCCTTGTTCCCATCTCAATCCCACTCAACATCTCATCTCCCATTCAAACTCGAATGCAGACTCACCGCAAAAAATGTATATATCTCCTTAACCGATATCCCTGCATCGTGCACGACCCTGTATCTTGCACGCTTTAATTTATTGAATTAAAAATTGATTATAAATCCAAAACTGCTTATAATAATATTAAAATTTATAAAAAACAGATTGAAGATCAGCTAAATATAATAATAAGTTTTTGATAAATTTGAAATATCAAATAGAATATTAATTGATTTTAAAAAATAATATTTTAAGATATTAATAATTTAATAAAAATTTATATTAGAATAAATTTATATTATTATTATTGAAAAAAAGCTTGAAATTCTGAAAAATATAAAAAATTAAGTTTTAAATATAATTTCAAAAATATGTATAATATTCAAAAAAATAAAAAGAATTTAAAAATTCTTTTTAAAATATTTTAAAATGTTTTTTTTATAGATTTTAAGAATTTGAAATTATTATTGGATTTTAATTAGAAAATAGAATTTTTATATATTAGAAAATATATAATATAATAATAATAAAATTATAAAAAAATTATAAATAATTAAAAAACTATAATTTATTATATTATAAGTTAATATATAAAATGACAAAATAAGAAATGAAATAAAATATTCTAATTTTTTAATAAATAAATCTATTATTTTTTTAAAAAACTAAAAAATATTATAAATCTATTTTTAAAAGAATTTATTTTTTTTAAAAAAAATCCTCAAATTTTATAATATTTTCTAATAATTTTATAGATATAATAATTTAATATTATATATATGATGTTTTTTTATTCAATATCAAATTAATTCCGTTTTTAAATTTTTTTAAAAAAAAATCTTTTTAGAAATATTTTATTATTAATTATATAATTCTAATATTTAATTTTATAATTTTTTAATAATTGATAATAATATATATATATTAATAAAATATAGTTATTTTTAGTTTTCTAATCAAAATTAATCTATTAATATATTATATAATGAAAAAATTAAAAATCATCATAAAATACTTGATTTATAATCAATTTTTTTAAAAGAAAAGATTATTTATGAAAACTTAAATAATATATTGATATAATATCAAACTTATAATATAAAAACTTGATTTTTTTATTTCTTTATGTTAAAATATATTCAAATTTATAAAAAATAAATTGAAAATCAATTTTCGCTATTTCTATTAATAAATAATTATATATTTTTGTATTAATAATTTTAATATTGAAATTATATTATATATAATAATTATTTTTATATTTTGATTACTTTATAAGAAATAAATAGTAATATATATATTATGTATAATTATTAATAGAACTCAATGATTGATTAATTATATATTGAATTTAGAATTCTTTTTTAAAAGAAATAAAAGTGTGCACGATACAGGGGCGTGCACGATGTAGGGATATCGGTTACCACATATTCCTGTACCCACTTCGTGCAACCATTTACTCATCCGACGAATATTATTCATACCGAGAATTGTGTTGCGAGATTCGGAGGCTGTTGTTCGAGTCAGGGGTATCGGTATGAGATTTTGGGGATTGGGGGAGAGGAGTGTGAGGTTTGTCTAAGGGGTGGGAAGTTGATGAAGGAGGAGAAGGGCTCGAGTGGGGAGGTTCGGTTGGGAAATGAAGAAAGGGGGAAGGGTTTGGAGGTGGAGATGGAGGTTGTCAAGGAGAGTATGCCAAAGATGGATTTAAGACTGAATATGTATAATGAAACGACTAATGATCCGAGAAAGAAAATGGGAAGTGATAAAAATGCACAGATACCATCAACCCATCCTATTTCGTTACGAAGAACCCGAAGTTCCTCGGAAGTACGCACGCATTACAGTGCCGGGAGCGATAATAGAAGAGGAAGACCAACGATGACATATGAACATCAACGGGAAACTCCAACACAGAGAAGACCGATGATTGCGGGGAGAAAACGTGTTTCTGTTGTTATCGAAGAAGGATTAGAATGCTACGGTGATGGGTGTGGAGTTTTCAATTCGAGTTTGAGATGTGGAAGGGAAAAGGGAAGGAAATGCTGGGAGGATTTATGGGGAAGATTTAGGAGGTTGTAAATAATGGTTAGATGGATCCAGGGGGTAGAAGTTGGAACTTGGTATCAATTCAGCCTTTTGGGGTTCTTTGCTTCTTCTTGGTGATTTCAGGGACAATTTACTTGAACGGATATGTAGAAGGATGAGATTTTATGGTCTAGATCTGCTTCTTAGGTTTCAATTTCATTGCTGCTCGGAAGATGACAAGTCATGAGTTGTGTTCCTAAGTGCGATATATAGACACACAAAAAGATATTGATGTAAATACAGGCCTTTCCTTCTGTGGTGCGATTTAAAACCAGGATGATATATCAACTTTATTAATTGCACCTCGGCTCTTTTCCATAAAGTCACTTTGGATGTATAAATGTGGTGAGGTAAAGATAGAGATATATAGCAGACTGAACAAAAGATGAAATGAGTGTATAGTATGTGACATGCTGAGAAACTGTGCATAATTTTCCCTCGACTAAGAGCGCAGTATGTCGCTCCTAGCGTGGAGAAATACATTACCAGTGGTTGATTTTAGCGAGTATGCGTATTAGGCACAATATTATGTTTGACTGTAGATGACTTTGATAGAATGGATTAGTCATTGTCAAATAGGACGATGTTTTTAGTTGTATGTATTCAGCATAACAAATCAGACCTCTAGCAAATTTTGAGATGTACTCCTTTTCTATTAATTGCGTAGACAGCTTACAGAATACACCTCTTTCCGGAAAGTAGGATTTTGACTAATACTATTTTTCTTCCGTATAAAAACGAAACGTGCAGAAAACTCCATTAGCGAATCCGCCATAATTTCTCAGGATAACATGAATGGATGTCATGATACCTATACGGCTATATATACGCTCAAAACCCTGTGAGTATACCGTACATATGATTCAGTATCAATACGACAATCCCTAGTCATCTGCAACTACGGCTTCAGAACAAAGACCTGCTGCATATAAACGTTCATCGAACTCAGCTTCTTTGCAATAACATTACAAGTAATCTTTCCATCATACATTCAGATCTTTACGGCACATTCATAACATATCCTCGAAATCACACGATTTTCCCACGCGATATTCACAAGACTTGACTTCCATTTTGACATCGAGTTCTGTTTTTGAATTCAACATTAAGGTAGCAATGATGTCGTCAACAACTGCTAAATCCACCTTTCCGGAAACCCTTGGTGGTCACCACAAAATCATCTCGCCAAATTCGTCTAGTGTAAAGCAGCCGCAAGACACAGAGCGATGTATATATGTTGTTCAAGGTTAGTTTTCTCCTTCTCATCTCTTCCATTCTCCTCATATTATACCCTTCCGCTCTTCCGCTCTTCCCCCCTTTCCACGCCCTACCACCCCAAACTTAACCAAACCCCAGAATACAACTGCGCCCACCACCCTTCCCTCAACAACCCCCACATCTTCCACCGGACGCCCTGTCCCCAAGCCCTCCTACCCGCAGCCTCTCAAACCGACTGCGAGAACTACGCACAGCACGAAAACGAACTCGTGCAAGTATCTCGCTACGTGATGGATCGCGGCTGCATGGAATGCAAAAATTCCGCGCGCAGACATCGTCGCGAGGAAACGGTCAAGCATCCGGAAATTCTTAGGAGAATGCAGGAATTAGGACTCGGACAGGAGGATATCGATCATTTTGAAAAAGTGACGAGTAGTTTTCCCGCAAGTAAGAGGGTTCTGGAGTTGGTGAGGGAGAGGGAGAAAAATGAGAGATTGAGAAGAGATGAGACTCGTTGCCTTTTGCTGAGAGAGGAGGGAAAGGATGAGCCACAGAACATGATTGAAGCAAAGCAGGAATCGAAGATCCAATTCAAGATGGACAATGTCGAAGTTATCCCTCCTGCGACCCCTGCCTTAATTGGAGACGCCATTGTCAAGGGAAACGACAGTGCGCGCGTAGAAAAAGAGCACGAAACCACACAGACTGAACTTATGGCTACAAAAGCCAAGAATCCACAACGCACAGGAACTCTCATGAAAAAGAGCACCTCTCAAGTTTCGACCAAGTCCACAGCGCTTGAAAATCCCACAGCTAGCATCGCACTCAAAATAATCCAAAGAGACGAACTCACACAACCCCAACTCCGCAACCCAGCAGCCAAAGAAAACCTCCCTCAACCCCCCACCAATCCCATCACGCCCAACAACCCAACCCCAAACATCTCACCCACCAAAAAACTCCCCACCACCGAACCTCCCTCTCTCCCCCTTGCATCACCAATCCCATCAGCAAACCCCACTCCCCCTTCACCCAAATCCCAGACACGACAAACCCACCTAGCAGAAGAAACCGCACGTCTCACCCCCGAAAAACTAACCGACAACATCCACCTCGACCTAGACGCCGAATGGGAAACCGACCTCGACGAGGAGCGCGAGCGCGTCTTCGGAGAAGTAGCACTTGCGCCTTCATTTGGATGTCAGACGGGAGACGAGTGGATTGTAGTTGGGAGTTGGGAGCAGTGATATTAATTAATCTATCTAAGAATCTTGATACTGGATGGCGAGGTATTTTGGGCGGGGAGGAAATTATATTATTGCGAGGTTGTTGTAGGATGGGATGGGATGGGATATGACGTGTAAAATTTTATCTAAGTTATGGTTTATTTCTCTGCTTGTTTCGTTGTTTTTGTTTTTGTTTTTGTTTTGGTCGATAGATGCCTACCTACACAGCGTTAAAATCGCACCTAGAGCCTAGTTAGCTATGTATTCAATATAATACAAGTGAAGTAATCTATCTTACATACCAATACCAATATCTCTCACTTCCCATACAACTCTCACTTCAATAATATCAATACGCTCCAATGAACCACCTATCAATATATATATATATATAAATTTTCTAATCCATTCCTCTATCCATTCCTCTATCTTTCCTTCTTTTCATCATATCCCTTTAATTTCAGCATCCAGATATCTCCTACTACTACAACCACTACCTGTATATTTCCACTCATTTACATGCATGTGCCGCTAACATAACATTACATACCATGATTCAAACCACCAAATCACATCACATCACAACACGCTATAACTTACACCTTCTCCCTTCCCTCCAATTCCATCCACTCTGCTTCCCCCACCTCCAAACCTACAACTGAAAAATTACAATTCCTTAGTAACCCTAGGTCTATCATCTCTCCTCCCCATTCCCAACCCCAACCCTGTACTTTGTTCCCCCTCCCTCTCAATTTCCCTCTCGACCATTTCAATACTACTCAAACTCGGGAATCTTTTACTGAAATCCGCAAGATATTCTTCTTTTTCCAAGGATGTCATATCTGATCTTGGTTGAATCCCAGATCCACCTCTATTAGCTAGATATGATTGTTTGGGTGGAGAGTTATTGACAGCAAGACCACCTCCCGTATTCATATTATTGAGATGTGTAGGTTTAGGAGGGGCACTTGGTCTTGGTCCTGTTTTAGTGACTGGTAATTGAGGAGGTATTTGTTGAGGACGAGGTTTGGTATAGTTGAGATCGGATGAAGGGACTGATGGTTGAGCTGCTTTGCGAATTACAGAAGGTTTTCCATATGGATTTCCGGTTGGTAAAGGATTAGGTTGACCTGGTATATCGGTATATCTTCCATAACCTTCTGCTGTTTTCTTTGGGGAGGGTTGTTGACTATTTTCATCCAAGAGACTTTTGACTTTGTGTTGAATACTTGCAGCTCGGGTTACACCACCAATACTTTTTGGGGCTGGTGCACCACCACGATCTGCAAGTCGTTTTCGATATTCGGCTGCTGCATCAGAAACACGTTTTTCTTCAATTGATAATCTCCTTCGTTCATTTTCTCTTCTTTGCTCTGGTGTCATATTGTCATCTACCGTTCCATCATCACTTCTATCATCTGTTGCCTCGGATCCAGCGATTGGTGTCAAGTCACGTCGATCTAAATCATGCAGAGGACTTGGAGTTCTTGGACCCGGCGGAGCACTAGCATTATTTTCAAATCTTTTGAAAGCATCTCCAAATTTACCCGCCAACAGATTTTTAGTTCCAGACAACGAAATCGTAGGCATACTAGAACGTTTGGACTTTGAACCACTACTTCGACGTCTATCTTTCTTGACCCTTTCATTATCTTCCATTGATTTAAGGAAGTCGACATTTGATTGAGGATCATCATCAGTTGAATCCGTGACTGCAAAATCCCTAGAATATGATGGACGTCGTTGAGAATCAATGGAGGGACGACCTTCCTTTTCTCGAAGGAAGTCCATGTTGGATTCCAAATATTGACTCGATGGACGTGATCGACTCAGGCTGGATTTTGTTCGAGATATAGTACTTTCAAGAGCTTCATTACTGGGTCTACCCATTTCGAGTGATGGTCTAGATGATGATGAATGTTTTGAATGAGTAGATTGTGGATTGTATGAAGAAGTTCGAGGTAAGCCAGGATGAACAGGTAGGAATTCTTGTGCTTCAAGAGTCGGTGTTCTAGATGGAGTTGTCATTTGGTTTCGTGGTAAACTAGTTGATCGATGATGATCTGATGGAATGAGACGTGGAGAAGCGGTGAAATTAGAAGGTCGTGGATTTGCAGGTGGAGGAGTTGGTGTTGTCATTGTACCTTGGGATACATATGAGGATTTCACACCAGGGTGAGTAGGTGTGGGCTGATATATTAAGGTAGCCGGTACATCTGATGTTTGAAGCTCTAGCGGATTACTGGATAGAATTTGTTGAGCACGAGATGGCTTATTGGTTGAAGTTGATGATCCTGGTCGATTTGACATGGCAAATGCATCATCAGCTAATCTTTCTGTAACTCGTTTGCTAACAGGTTGTGCTGTCTTTGCGGGTGAGTTTGATCCAAAATCAAATTTGCCTCCTTCATGAAGTAACGAAAACTGATCTAAGCTTGGAAATCGATTGGAGATTTCGTCTACAACTGGAGCAGAAGTTGTAGAATCCAAAGCGGCAAATGGATCACTAACTGTGCCTCTCATTGGAGACGGACTAGGTTTTGTAGATTGTGGCTGTGAATTAGCCGTGGGTCTTCCTCTTCGCATTGGTACGACATCAGGTATAACTGTTTGCTGTTGCGTTGGAGGCGCAAAGACTGCTCCCACGACTGGAGGTGATGTTGGAGACTCGGCAGTTGGTAATTGCTGATATTGTCGCGATTCTGATTGGGTTCTTCCAGCATATATCTAATATGGTAAGTTTCTATTCGTCGATGGAAGATGGAAGATATAAAACAACATACATCCTTAATTGGAACCTCGATTCCTTGCATGAGACATGATTCCCTCAAAACTTGGTATATATTGGGACGAGATGTTGGCTTCTCTTTCAACATAGATGCTAGAATTTGTTAGCACAATTTCTCCTTCAGCATAACCGCAGCATTGGATATACCTATTAAATTCTTAAGGGGGTCCGAAAACATTGGATACGAGGGAAATTTAAAACTTGCGTTCAATATAGCAAGTTGTCCCTGAGCCTCGAATGGTGTAGTATAATAACACAACTTGTAAAGAAGTACCCCTAGTGCCCAAATATCCGACTTTTCATCAATTGGTAATTTCCTGTATACATCTATCATCTCAGGACTTCTATATTGTAATGTCGTATGTTTTTGAACATCGTCTTCGATCAATCTGCATTCAGCAGCGGTCGTAGCAGCAGGTCGAGGTGGTGCAGTGGAACCAAAGTCGCAGAGCTTAAATCTTCGAGAAGGACCGGTAGAAGTTATGAGGACATTCTCAACTTTCAGATCTCGATGTAAAAGGGGAGGTTTGAGGTAGTGCATGCATGCTACTCCTTCTGCCACGTCTGAGAATATCTTTAGAATTTCGGGTTCCGTCAATCTATTTTGAAGTCGAGTATTCATGAAATCGATCAAACCACCGCCATTGCAAAATTCCATAAGTAAGAATACCTCGTACCCTCCCCCTTTCAGTTGTGATGCATGTGAATCGTAATATGTAACAATTGGGCGGTGTCCCTTTAACTTCTTCATGGTTTCCACTTCGGTTCTCATATTTGCCAAATGTTCCTTATCAGGGACCGCGACTCTTTTCAATACGGCAATATCTGTCCCATCGATGGGTTTTGGCATCTTCACCAGGTAGACATGAGCGAACCCCCCTTCCGAGAAGTACTTTTGAATAACGACCTTGTGAGATCCGACTTGGATTTTTGTTCCGGGTGCGAAAGTTCCAGGGGGTGCCGAAGGATCTGGTATTGGGACAGGTCCTCCATAAACCGCAGGTCGAGGGGCGGTCGCTGGCACATTGTAAGATGCCATGATCTATGAGGTCGATGTGTAAAGCAAGACGATGGCAGATGTAGAGTAGCTAAGGATTAGATATGATCACCGCATTGAGTGAAGTGCGTTGACTTGTAAATCGAATCTTACAATTAAAAAGATATAAAAAGAAGCTTTACAAGATAATCCAAAGTTGATTGAAAGATGGATGAATAGATTTAACGGTCAACGTTCAATGTCTAATCCAAGGTACTTTGATTGCATGGAGTTTTGAGAATGATGGATGGGGCATATCCAGGCTGGCATGGATGTTATCCATTGATTTGGTTGTGTATTCACCGCCTTTTAGTTCTGCCCATATATTTTGACCAATGAGAGAGGGAAGAGAACGTGTCTCACGGTAGGTAGATCATCTGGCTTTGGTGGGTATGAAATTGAAGCGCGTGTGAACAAAAGAGGAGAATATTTTGATTATTGTTATCAAGTGATTGAATGAAGAAGAAGAAGGGGAGGAATGGAAGGGATGTATGATTGAGGAGGATATATTTGATCAAAGTCAATTTATAAAGGAATTTTACATATAGAGATTTATATATATATATATGTGTGTGTGTGTGTGTGTGTATATGGATCGATATATGTACTAGGTAGAAATATACAAATACATCTAGTTAGTTATCTATATCTCGGTATATAGGTATGCATCTATGATATTTGACACATTCCCCAGTTTCGTAAAGGAATCGAAACATAACGGTCTCAATTATGAATGATGGATGGATCACCATTACCCACCTAGTACATTATCTATAATCTCCTCTAGACCTATTCAAGTATCACGGCCTCGATGATAACTCGGAATACATCGCCATCTCATCAATCAATCACTCACAGTCTGACTCGTCATTAATTCTTAATTCTTCAGATGGGACTATGATTGCCCTACTCTCCTTAGTATGTAACTCGGCCAGCCTTGTCAAAACTCCAGAAAGCCTCTTTTTCTTTTTCATCCCACCTATTCCATAGATTGCTGTTACCGATTTCTATCAAGATAGGTAATTGCTCGACCCAACCATACCTAAGGGTTGTAGTACAATGTTTCAATTGTGCCTTGCATACAATCTATGATACCTACTCAGTCATAAGCCGTAAGCCGTACGCACTCGGCTTTTGAATGATATTACGTGGATGAATCGTGATAAAGCGATGACTATTAGGTACATCGGTGATTGGCTGTACCAACATGGAGTTTCCAATGCAACCGGAAGTCCGATGTCTATATGTAGGATCGGTAATTGATGTTATTCTTAGGCTGTTTGGGTGAGATGAGTGGAATGGATGTTGTGATAGGTATAGCGCGGTTGATGTTGATACTGATGTTGATGTTGATGTTGATATTGATATTGATATTGATATTGATATTGATATTGATATTGATTTCAAATCAAGTCTCTTTTCTTTGTGTTTTGATATAAGACTTCATGATATATATCGCTACCTACTTATTATTTACCTGCCTACCTATTCTTACTAGCCACATTTGATTCACGTCGCGTCGTCTACATAAGGCTTTGTTATCAGAGTCACCGTTATTGTAAGACCGTTGCAAAGTCTATCCCAAATTCAAATACCATCTGTCCTTTTTCATTGGATGACGATGATGTTCTCGAGTAGATTTACTTTGTGATTCTTAGGCACATGCACTCTACGATACCTAGCACGATACCTAGCACAATACCTAGCACAATACCTAGCACAATACCTAGTAGTTCAGGTATACTGTAATCTGTATCAAGGCTACGTGCTTGGAATCTCAACCTAGAAAATTGTATCAAAAATTCAATCTCCGACGGAAGGAAGATGGGAAAGTTGAAGGATATCGGGTGGAATGGAGAGAAGAGTGGAAAAAGAAGGTGCGTATGGTGGTGATTTGCGGTATGAAGTTATTCATAAATGTGATTGCTCACTACCTAGGTGTGTAGGAAGATATATGAGGGTTGATTGAGTATTAATTGAGAGGTATTATTGTTGCTGTAGCTGTAATAGTAACGTTAAGTTTATATATGATATTCCTTCCATTAACTTATAATAATCATTCTTGTTGTTGGTCTCTCTCTACCTAATCTACCTAATAGATATTGACTCTTCTTACCTGGTAATCATATGGATTCTTTTTATTCTTTTCTTCACTCTTTTACTCTCTCTATTAATTCTTTACCTAATTGTGATTACTCATTCATCACTCATCCATCACTTCATTCATAGGTACCCAAAGCACACTTCACTTCCCTTTTTTTTCCTTTCTTCTCTCTTCTCTCTTCTCTCTTCTCTCTTCTCTCCTCTCCCCTCACTCCTCACTCCTCACTCCTCACTCCTCACTCCTCACTCCTCACTCCTCACTCAATTTTTTTTTCTTCTCTTTCCCAGCCATATTCGTGATCTCCATTTTAGTGAAAGGCTTGAAGCAACTGCAACAGGGATCAGTTCAGCGCTAAGCCTTTAAGCGAATTAAGAAAATTATTGGGATTTTCTGAATACTTAAGGACCATAAAGGACGGCGACTCCCCGACCGGCCATGTTGCTACCATAAGAAACCACCAAAATCCACACAAGGGGAAATTCAACCAATCAACGAGTCCAACGAATTTTATACCAAACCACCAAACCACCAAACCATACCAAACCGTACCGGTACATACATATATCAATCACCTGGGCAGTCAACCGTATCAACCATACCATCCATACATATCAACATACATTTCAACTGCCATAGTCAAGATCAACCATTCAATTCAAAGGGAAAAGAATACAATAATAACTTCCCCCCGGTACTAAAATCTTCAATTGAAAAAATCCCGCCTCGCGATCAAGGCTGAAAGGTTCACAATTACTACTATCACTACTACTACTACTACTACTACTACTACTACTACTACTACTACTACTACTACCTACAATTTCCAATACATGTCGTCGCTATCAACATTCACCTTGCCTGTATTTCAAAACTTCATCAAAACTTCATCAAAACTTCTTTGGATCTCTTTGCGATCACTTATTTATTAATTCTTTCATTGCCTTTACGCGTCTAATAAACTTTTCTTCGGTATTGCATATCTGCAATTGTCATTCCAAGTATCACCCGCGGTACACTTTTACTTTTTTTGCCACGACGACGACTATATCAAACGATAACAAAGTTGAATGGATTAACGAACTTTCACAAAACTCATCTTTTGGCATATATGGCGTTTTCCCTTTGATCCTCTTCATACAGATAATGAACCACACGCGTATTGAAAATGGCTTCAAGGTAATGTTTCACCACCACCCCCCCCCCAATATTAAGCTGTGATCAATGCGGCCGCGTTGCATTTGAATGCTGCATTTCGGGAATTAATTATGGATTTGCTGACATGATGATACGCTGGAATAGATTGGATCGACTTGTCACGTGAGTTTCTTCTCTTTGGGTCACTCCATCTTTTCTATGTTGGGTTGAGACAAAATCAAACCCTGGAAATTTTTAAAATGCCGTGGAATTTTTACGGGAATTGTAAAATTGAAGATCTCTTATAATACGATATGATCATCAATGATCTTCATTTCGAGAATATTCTGGACGAGTTTCATTTGAGCCTCATCTCTTTCCCCTACCTCCTACTGACTTTTGATTCAGGCTACTGGAAACAGGAAGCACTCCATTAATTAGGAATACTGCTGCTCAGCAATTGGCTGATGTACAAAAATCACATCCCGAAGAACTTTTCAATTTATTAACCAGAGTGGTACCATATCTTCGTCATAAGACTTGGGATACACGAACAGCTGCTTCAAAAGCATTAGCCGGAATTGTTGAGAATGCGGAAAAATATGACCCAAATGGTGAGGATGACTTGGCGAAAGATGAATCAAAAATCGAGGAATCTGGAATCAAAAAGGAAGAAGCCGTAGAGCCTACACCACTTGCTGAAGGACAATTAAGTCTTGACACTCTCGATATTGTATCGATTCTCAAATACGGTAAAGAACTTGTACGTGGTGGAGATAGAGGTCATGACTGGGCTCTAGCTTCTTTGGATCCCGCTCAACGTCTTGCCCATCAAAAGAAGACACTGGACGGACGACTTGGTCTTCTTGGTCCATATTCTGAAGAGGAACTCGAATACGCAGCTCCTACTAATAACCAGAATGGATCCAGCACCACACTGGCACGTGAGGATTCAAATGGTTTCTCACGACAAGATAACAACAAAGGTACATCTACACCTGCGGAAGAAAGTGGACTGAGTGCGAGGCAACTGAATCAATTGAAACGCAAGAGAAAAAGAGAAGCTATGACTGCTGGTAGTAAAAGTAGGCTGGTAGATCTTTCAGTACGACGTACGAATACTTCGAGCGATGCAGATACTTCCATGCCGGATGCTAGTGGTGAAGATTCCAAAAACCCCATGGCGGATTACTTTTCAACGGAAAGAAATTCAGAAGTAGATGAGGATTCCAAAGTCGTTTCAGAATTCAAGGGGCCAATCATGCCAATCAAATCCGAACTTGAGACCGAGGGCGAACAAGAAGGATCGGAGTGGCCTTATGAGCGTCTCTGTGAATTTCTTGTGGTCGATTTATTCGATCCTCAATGGGAAACTAGACATGGTGCCGCAATGGGTTTGAGAGATATCATACGTGTCCATGGAGCCGGTGCTGGAAGACAGCTAGGAAAGACTCGTAGCGAGAACAACTTACTCAATCAACTTTGGCTTGATGACTTAGCTTGTCGGTTGTGTTGCGTTTTTATCTTGGACCGTTTTGGGGACTATGTTTCAGATACAGTTGTTGCACCTATTCGAGAAACAATTGGTCAGACTCTTGGTGCTTTACTCATTCACCTCCCACCACCGGTCGTTTATTCCGTTCATCGCATTTTGTACCGTCTCGTTATGCAAAATGACATTGAACTGGATAAACCAGGCTGGGCTATTTGTCATGGTGGTATGATTGGTCTCCGTTACTTGGTGGCAGTTCGAAATGATTTGTTA